ATAATCAATAAATATATAGATAAATACATTACAAATAAATAAAAATGCTGTCTCCTTTTTTTGGATCCCAGAGGTCTCACGCTCTAATTTGTGGTTGCTGTGACAAATGCCTACTGTAAAGTTCATTTCTGCTTTTAGCCTGTTATCCTTCTTACAACAAATAAGAAAACAATTTTTTTTTGCCCACTGACTATGTTGTAATAAGGATTTTTGGTGATGGCTAATAACATTTGCTATCAGTGTGTCAACATTAAGGGAACCCACAAAGCTGTAAATTTAAGGATTTGCACCTTTACCGTGTTGCCTTGAAGCTGCATGCAATGGCCCCTCCCCAAAATACACCATATTTTCTCCCATTGACATCAATGGGGTTCAGATACCATAGCTTTGGATTCCCAAACATTTTGACCTGTCACTGCCCGTAAAACTGCCCGTAAATCGGACAGAGGCATAATTGAGCAACACTATCACTAACATTATGTTCACTCCCTAGCTTCTGTTTGTTACTTACCTAGGCCCACCCCTGTGCTAGTGTGTTTCCATAGCTGCCTCTCTGCACACTCTCATTTATACACCTAGCTTTTAAGAAAAATCAGAGCTTAAAAGCATATCTACTCTGCTGAATCAGCACTTATGAGGGCATACAGTCAGACAGGGCTTTGCATGCCTTGATCACAAAGCCCTATGTCAAATTAAATATCTAATAAGTATGCTAGACTGATTCTAGCAATCACCATTACAGCCACATATTTTCCACTAGATATTACATGCATCAGTTTTTGGTCTCAGTGGCAACCTCTGCTCTAGAACTGAGTTTATCTCAAACCACGTACCTTGTAGTTGGGAAGAGTGCTCACTACCATTGTCAACCTGAAGGAAGAGTGAAAAAGCAAGCAGTCAGCATCTGGAGTTTTTACACATAAAGTAGATTGTTGTACATAAACTGCATGCTTTTGTAAGAGCCATTTCAAAATGTACATTGTGTACGTAAAGCCCAAACTGCCTTTTTAGTTTTGGATAGAGTGTGGAAGAATTAGAACCTCTAGATATATCAGTAGATATTTATTTATGTCTGTTTTCCCATTGGGGAGAATCAGCCCTCTACTGGTCCTGGTGACCACGTTGTCACAAGAAAAGGAGGTGAGGGGAATTCTTTCAGTTTGGAAACAGGTTCTGGTGACAACTAAGAGGGGATATTCCTTTGCTTTGGAGAGATCCACTTTTCCTGAGAAGAACCTCCCAGAGGGGTCAAAGACAGCAAAAACAACAATACAACTGACCGGGGTCTTAACCTCTCCCTACTTTATCCAGAACCATAAAAAAGTTGGCTGGCTTTGTATAAACTTTGGGCTAGTTCACATCAGCCCCACTGGGCACACAGTCCCAATGCAAAGCCAAAAAGTCTTGCTTTGCACCGGGTATGTTGGATGGTGTGTGTTGCAATAAAATGATGCAGGCATTGTTTTATTGCAGCTCAGTATATTGCATTGCATATAATTAACATAGAAGTAAAAAAAGAAGCAAGCACTGCAGTGCATTATACCAAGCATTGTGCAGCACACGGCAGCATTTTCTGCTATGCATTGCCATGTGCTGTGGTGTGAACCAGCTCCTTAATAGTTGGTAGCACCAGCCAATCTAGAGAACTCTCTCTACAATGTCAGGGGATTACTAAATTTGCCTATTAAAATTTTTATAAGATATGGTTTAATATACTTCTAATACACTATATTGCCAAAAGTATTGGGACGCCGGCCTTTACACGCATATGAACTTTAATGGCATCCCAGTCTTAGTCTGTAGGGTTCAATATTGAGTTGGCCCAACCTTTGCAGTTATAACAGCTTCAACTCTTCTGGGAAGGCGGTCACAAGGTTTAGGAGTGTGTCTATGGGAATGTTTGATCATTCTTCCAGAAGCGCATTTGTGAGGTCATGTACTCATGTTGAACGAGAAGGCCTGGCTCGCAGTCCCTGCTCTAATTTATCCCAAAGGTGTTCTATCAGGTTGAGGTCAGGACTCTGTGCAGGCCAGTCAAGTTCCTCCACCCTAAACTCACTCATTCACGTCTTATGGACCTTGCTTTGTGCACTACTGCACAGTCATATTGGAACAGATAGGGGCCATTCCCAAACTGTTCCCACAAAGTTGGGAGCATGAAATTGTCCAAAATATCTTGGTATGCTGATTCCTTAAGAGTTCCCTGTACTGGAACTAAGGGGCCAAGCCCAACCACTGAAAAACAACCCCACACCATAATCCCAGACACGTCCATCGAATTGCCAGACAGAGAAGCGTGATTCCTCACTCCAGAGAACACGTCTCCACTTCTCTAGAGTCCAGTGGCTGCTCGGCCGTGGAAACCCATTCCATGAAGCTCTCTACGCACTGTTGTTGTGCCAATCGGCCACATGAAGTTTGAAGGTCTGTAGCTATTGACTCTGGAGACAGTTGGCGACTTCTGGGCACTGTGCGCTTCAACATGGATTGACCCCGCTCTGTCATTTTATGTGAAAGGAATATAGTTACATAAACCACAGAGAGACCTAGTAAAACCATTTTTCCTGTTTTCTCCCTATGTATACATAGTCCCGTTGAATTTCACTACTCAGGTAGAATAAAACATGTAATATTATTTTGTAATGAATTTGTTTTTGGATTTTAAGAAGCTTGAGGTTTTTTTCACAAACTGAAATTTTATTATGGTGGTACATAATTATTTGCCTATGAATCTGTAAATATATTTTATATCATTATTAGTTATTACATATAGTATGTTTCAGTTACATAATCACTTTAAGATTAAAAATAACATTGCAAAATAGCGATGATCTGCTTCCTTTAACAACCAATACAATTTCAGTTACTAGCGAATCTCTTGCAATCCAAGTGTTGGCAGCTGCAGACAGATCAGGGGATATTTTCTATTTCCACTGAAATTGCCTTTACCGAAATGAATCAGTGAAATATGACGTAACATCAAATAAAAGATTTACATTTGGATATCTTAAGTATAACTGAAAAACTAAAATGGGCACCTATAGACACATTCCATATTTTTTAAAACATTGTAACTATTGTTTTCTCATCCATATTTTTGCTCCTTGTAGTTTAAGTCACGAAACCTTATGTGTATTTTGTTGTATGATTAGAACAGTGTTGTATTATCGACATATATTGTTCTTTTAGTACTTTTCAATGTATATGCTGTCTTCATTACATTAAGGTGTTTGTTAAACTTTTTTGTTTGTTTGAAATTTAAATCCGGTGGAAAATCCACTGCATTTTAAAGAGTATTTTCACCTTTATGTGTTTACAAGTCTATTAATGTATATGTACCTCTGTAATCTACGTGCATCAGATTTCTAGCTGTGAGAGGGCTGTTGAAGTGTATATGTTGACATGGAACATCAAGGGAAAGTAATTCTCAAACTATAACCTAGTACCTTATTTTTAGTGTGTTAAGCCAAGTGGCATTTGAGAACCATGATTTGTACAATTCTTAAAGCAGCTTAAGGTAAAGGCATCAATTTATTATGTTACTAGAAAAGGAATTTAAAACGAGGTTGAGCTTATTATTTTATAGTGAACCTGACTTAGCCTAAAAAGTGTCTAATATCACAACAGTGCCAAAGTAAAGTATCAGTTTTAGTAGTAGCTATCGAAGCTATCCCAAGTTGAGGTTAAGCCCCACCACTTCCTGGTACTAAGCTCCACTTTTTATAATCCAGTTAATTAACATAGTCCAGTGGGCAGTAGAGGCTCCGGTATTTGAAAATTAAATGACATGGGGTTGGCATTAGTAGCAGGATGAGGTAGGCATTCATTTTGAATTAAGGAAAAGTTAAGACCCTGTACACAGCCTGGACCTAGAATCCAAGGGTCTCCACAAAGAAATGGAGATTATTTGAAGATTAACCTAAGAGTGTAGGTATCACAAGGTACCAACACTTCAGCGCTGTTGTTACCTTGGACACATTTAGGGCCAGTTAAGTTTCACTTCAGGAACCACTGGTCACGTTAAGGGTTCTGGGGAGCCTGTGCTTCCAGTGACATAATATGCCATCAGCATTAAGCATCAGCTGTAATTTTATAAACTTGGTTTCCGAGGCTTTCCAACCTTGTATGAAACCATTTGGCAGATGTTCTAATCAAAAATTTTCCCAGCGCAAATGAATCACAGCAAGCCTTCCTCCTTAATTGATTCCACCTGATCACACTGGGGCAGCTCCACAAGGCAGGGAACCCTAACATCTATAGAATGACAAAAAAGGAGAGCGCCCACTCCATGTGAAGGATCGTTTAATAATTTGCTTTTAAAAAATGGTAATGTACTCACAAGAGAAAAGTGACACAAGCATATTCAATGGTTCACCTCATAGGAGGCTATCGGCAATCAGAAGCCACAGAACAGCCAAGTCAGCTCACGACCGAAGTCGTCTTCCAGCAGCGAGTGGCAAGAGTTAACGCATTTCTGGGGCATGCCCCTTCCTCAAAACCCTTGCCACTCGCTGCTGGAAGACGACTTCGTTTGTGAGCTGACCTGGCTTCACTGTGGCTTCTGATGGGCAACAGCCTCCTGTGAGGGGGATCATTGAATACGCTTGTGTCACTTTTCTCTTGTGAGTACATTACACATTTTTGAAAGCAAATTATTAAACGATCCTTCACATGGAGTGGGCGCTCTCCCTCTTTGTCATTCTATAGATGTTCTAATCAGCCCAAATTTGCAGATCCCTTGGCGATTGTGATATTGTTTATAGTTAATAAGTTATGGCTTGATCTGCATCTTGCAGTGGATTAAGTTTGTTGCCTAAAGGTGGAAAAACCCACTGACCTTGTAATCAGTGCAATAAACCTTTTGTTAGTGGATTCCAGGTTATGTAATTTGCTAACATCACTGTGTAGATACCTTGTAACCTGTATGAGAACATGAGGCACCGCCACCTAAAATCATTTCAAGCATGTTTCTCTTTCAAGTTATCCTTTTTTCATTATAGGAAGCCCCTTATGTAATGTACAAGAAAAACCATGAGCTGTTGGAAGGAAATGATAAGTTTGAAGGATATTGTGTAGATCTGGCCTATGAAATTGCAAAACATATTGGTATCAAGTATAAAATTGCCATTGTTCCTGATGGAAAATATGGAGCAAGAGATTCAGACACAAAGATCTGGAATGGAATGGTGGGAGAGCTTGTATATGGGGTAAGCATATACTTTAATATCATAGAATTACATACAAAGATTTGCATTTTATGATTGTATAGCTGTAGTATCTAAATCAAACACTCTGTTAGTTGCAAACAAAGCAGATTTAAACATTGCATTGGTAAATCACATTTTACAATTTGCAAAATAATGTAAAATCCCCCATCCAGTAATAACAAATAGCACCAGTAAGGTGGCACATATTGTTACATCTGCTCTTCATGCGATTCTCTGGGTGCTTCTATATTTTTCTGTATGACAAATTCCAGTGGCTGCTGTATGTTCAGAAAATGAATGCCTGTCCAGTACACAGCCCTGAAAATGTATGCTGGGTGTGAGCCATGCAAGAAGAGAAAGCTGTACTCCCTAATTTTCCAGCTAACTAAAATGACACACTTAACTCTCAGTTAGAGGACATAATCAATCAATATTGAAAACTTTATTATTATTAATTTAGTTTTAGTGGCTATTTTATAATAACCTATACGGTAGAGTAGAGTATTTTCCTTTCTCTACCCTCTGTTCTGTCATTTACTGCGATGTTTCCTGTCTTTTCTGTAATTCTAAAGTTAAAAAACTATAATTTTTGTGAAAATGAATGCATTAAAGCAACCCTGTTAGGGTATTAAAACAAAGCTGTAAGGTTCTTGTTAAAGAAAAGGTAGTGTACTCACCTCTCTGGCTGCTAAGCTGTGGGATCTAAAAATAATGGCATCAAAAAGTAAGCAAATTAGGTAGTCCACTGTTCAGGTTTGCATTAATTGTTAATCAATCCCAGCATGGATGCGTTATTGCCTGGTTTTGAGGGAGCATTGGCTAGGTTATTTAGGTGTTGAGCACTTAGATTTTTCATAATTACATGTATTCTAAGGGAAAATGTAATGCAATATTATAAATGATCACCTCAAAAGTAATGTATTATCTGTTTTACAGAAAGCGGAGATTGCTGTGGCTCCTTTGACTATCACCCTGGTGCGAGAGGAGGTCATTGATTTCTCTAAACCTTTCATGAGCTTAGGAATTTCCATTATGATAAAAAAGCCACAAAAATCGAAACCAGGAGTCTTTTCATTTTTGGACCCATTGGCTTATGAAATTTGGATGTGCATTGTTTTTGCCTACATTGGCGTCAGTGTAGTTCTTTTCCTCGTAAGCCGATTTAGTCCTTATGAGTGGCATACGGAAGAACCGGAAGATGGGAAGGACGGACCCAGTGACCAACCTCCAAATGAGTTTGGAATTTTTAATAGTCTTTGGTTCTCCCTTGGAGCTTTCATGCAGCAAGGATGTGATATATCACCAAGGTTTGTATGCAAAACTTCCATGCAAAATGTCTAAATGCATGTTTAAACACTGGAAACATGTGAATCTGGAAACATTTTTAATAACCCCATTACATTTAAAGATGATGCATTCCAACAGTAAAACTCCGTATTTGGTGGGTTTTCTGTTGTTATTAAACACACTGGAATGTATGAAGAATCTTGCAAAACATTTCTGGCCTGAATCACAATTCAGCTTTAATATTTCCAGCAAATCTCAGGGCAGGAGCCCTGAAGACAGGTTAGAACCAGGGTTATTTTTTATGTGCAATTTTTTTGGCATTTAAAGGATAAGTGCATTTTTAAATAAAGTGCACCTATCCTTTGAAACCCTACTCTGATGTAACTTACCCACCCTCCCTCTCCCCACATGTATACTTTATTCGATCAGATGGCCATGGCTCTGCTGTTTGTTTATATCCAAATCCATAGGTCTTCAGTATCCTTGTCTTGTTTGCGCATTACAATGGGCATTTCTATGGGGTCACCTCCTGAGGCTGGAGTTTCTTGGGATACAGCCCTATAGAAATCTAAGGGCTGTTATATGCCTTTGTTCAAAAGTGCACTTATACTTAAACTACAAAATATCACTGTTGAGTAAAACTAGTGTTGAATGTGAACCAATGCATTCCACCATTTTAGGAACACAAACTTGTGCATACATGGAAAGGTCACATATGCACACATACAGGCATAGAAGCAGGTTTCGTTGGATTCAAACACTGTGGACAATGCCAGTTGACATGACAATACACATTTAGGGGTCTCTTTATAAAAACAATACAAAGCTATTTTTCAAAGGAAACTGCATTTACATTTGTTCTGGACAAATTAACCATCTGTGGTGAGAATGGGGCAAAATTGAATGTTCTTAATGCTACTTGCTCTTCTGTTTGAATGTTCTCCAAATATTATGGGCAGTAGTGAAGTGGGAAAATATCACAATTTGGCCACTAGATGGAGTTGATCATCATAAGAACTAAATACATCTTAGGGGGTTATTCACTTAGTTGTTGAAGGCAGCCAAGTGAATAACCAACTCAAAGTAAAGGGGGCCTAACCCTGTTCGGCTATTCACTTCAGCCGTTTACAGCTGAAAGCAGCTGTGCATTGGTTGCCCTCTGCTCTCTTCACTTCACTTTGGAGGAAGACATTTGCCTCAGCCACTCCAACAACTGGATCGGCTGAGGCGAGCGTTCGGCAGTTAATTCACTGCTTTTTGGCTCTTATTCTCAATGGCGGGCCGAGCAGCAGTGAGTGAATAAACAAATGGTGCCATGCAGCTTGATTATTCTGTTTGCTACCTCAGAGGTAGCAAACAGAATAAAAAAAAAAATGCAAACAAAACGGGGAAAAAAACACAGCATGGGGTCTCCCCAAAAGCCTGCCGACCCCCAACCCAAACTCCGGCTCCTGTTTGATATGTGACGGCAAAATTGTCAACAGATAGGCGGAGCTAGCGGTGACATCACCACTGGCTCTGCCCATTGTCATTTGGCCGGGACCTGTCAATAGCGATTTCACAGCTGAATGACAACAAATGGGTGGAGCCAGTGGTCATGTCACCGCTAGCTCTGCCTATCTTGACATTCAGCCGACACCTGTGAAATTGTTCATTTAGTTTGGGTCGGGTCGGCAGGCTTTTGGGGGGACCCTGCGCTGATTTTTTTTTCTTTTCTTGTATTTGTTTACGGGGGAGAATGGTCTGCTTCGGCAGAGCGTTCTCCCCGCTTCTGCTGTGTGTTCGGCTCAGCTGTGCTCTTCGGCTGAACCAAAGGCTTACAGCAGCCGAAGTGAGCCGAAGGATTAGCAGAAGGTTCAGCATAATCCTTCAGCTCGATGGTTAATGAGCAAAAGGTACAATGTAACAATTCCAGAAAATGCTGGGGGGATTAGCAGATAAATGCCACCATTGTACAGTAATAGCAATTTTATGTCCAGATATACAGTACATATATATATACACACAGGTGAAACTCGAATAATTAGAATATCGTGCAAAGTTCATTTATTTCACTAATGCAACTTAAAAGGTGAAACTAACATATGAGATAGACTCATTACATGCAAAACAAGAGAGTTCAAGCCGTGATTTGTCATAATTGTGATGATTATGGCTTACAGCTCATGAAAACCCCAAATCCACAACCTCAAAAAAGTAGATTATTACATGCAATCAATAAAACAAGGATTGTACATAGAACAATATCGGACCTCTGAAAAGTACAAGCATGCATATGTACTCAGTACTTGGTTTGGGCCCCTTTTGCAGCACTTACTGCAATTACTTTTGCACGATATTCTAATTATTCGAGTTTCACCTGTATATATATATTAAACATCTGTTTGGCTGGAGTCCCCATGTAAACCACATTGAAGTCTGGGAATAATGGTTGTCAAAATCTTTGTGCACACAACATAGAGATTTCATATTTCTCAAGTCATCCGTGATAATTTTTATGACATTGCCTTTTTGTTTGAATATTTTATTGCTACGGCTTTATATGTGCATAAGATAGTAATACTTAGGGGTTGATTTACTAACCTTTTAAACACACCACGAATGTGTATACACCTCTGTAGTGTGTTCCCTCCCAGCATGATCTATGGGAGGAATCGAAACACCTTTGTAGTGTGTACACACCCAGCAGGTGTGTTGTGCAAAGCCCTGCAATGAATTGCAAGGTAATGTGGTGTAAATTAGCTCTATGTTATGTTGCTTGCGTTGATGAATCCAGGAATGTAAATGCATGAGCTAACCATTTTTGTCTAAACTGTGAAGCAGCATTATATATGCATCATGTGCATGATTTTTCCATATATGGCATTAGTGGAAATATGCTTTTAGAGACTTTTTGCTTGATAAATACGTTTTGCTGTGTGAAAATCACACACACCTGGTGTGTATGTGTGTTTAGGTTAGTAAATCACCCCCTTAATGTCTTATAAATTAAACTGTAGAAATGTACAGCCATCTGAAGCTTTATCTCTTAGGAGGGCACAATAAATAAGTAAATAAACTAAATAATTTATCAAAGATGAGTAAAAGATTTGTCTACACAGAGAAAATGCCTGACAAATACCATGAGAAATATACAGAAAACAATTGCCAAGAGGCAGGCAAGCTGTAGGAGTTGTAGCTCTCCACATGGTTTGTAGGTTAAGCAGTCACATTGTAACTTCACAAGCCCCATGTATAGAATTCTCATCCCTCTATCATTAACAGTACAGGCTAGGATCTCCAGTCCACTGTCTTTCATGTGGTTCTGCAAAACCAGATTTAATCATTAGACAGCACTGCAGGTAATACCCAGAAGTACATCCCCTGGTTCTTTTAAAAACCAGTAGCCACACAATCTGATTGTACAGTCTCCCTTACCAACAACAACTACATAGTGCAAAGGCCTGCTTGATTTGATTAGATATAATTGATTTGATTGGCCCTGGCACTATGTCATTTTTGATAGCTCTATAGAAGGTTGTACAATCAGTTTGTTATATGTGCAGCGAGCTAAAGTGGAACTATACACACCTCCACTCCAGAAATGCAACATCATTGAGCTTCTTTTGCAACACTGACATCTTTTCCCCGACTTCCTCCAGGTTCAGAAGCCTACCTGTTAACAAATTGTTACTTTTAAAGTTTTTAAAGGAGAACTATGGGGTTCTATCTTTGTTTTATTAATGCATTCCTTAGGCTAAATAAGTAAATAATGTAATTTACTCTAATTAGCCAAAATGCACAGTAAGGATGTAAAACCTTATTTAAGGTGGTGGGCGGGGCTAAGCGCCGCAATGAGAAGACATCCCAGCGTATCTGACGGGATCCTCCCCACTGATGACTGACAGTGATTCTTGAGAGCTGCTGCGCGTCCACGAATATATGGACATGCGCAGCAGCTCTCTCCTTACCTGCATGTCCCCGTGTGCCAGCTCCTTCCCCCCTCTCTCTCTCTCTCTCTCCCTGCTGACACTGACATACCAAAATGATCGTGGATCGCTGATGACAGAGGGGAAGGAGCTCTCTCTTCAGCATTTACTACAAATGGGAAAGTCCATATATGGTAAATGATGTCACTGGAGATCCCTGCTGATCGGATCCGCTGATCAGTCGTGTCTTCTCATTGCGGCGCTTAGCCCCGTCCACCGCCTTACTGTGCATTTTGGCTAATTAGAGTAAATTACATTATTTACTTATTTAGCCTAAGGAATGCATTAATAAAAAAAAGATAGAACCCCATAGTTCTCCTTTAAGTACTTTAAGTCATGTTCAGGGCTGCACACAACTAAAGGAGGGATTCCCTGTTTTTCACAGCAAATAATGTGGATTCTAAAAATATGTTTGTGGGGACAAAGCTTGATTCTCTGTTGCAACTTTACAGATATGCACAACCTTAAAGGGCAAATTTGTCCTCCCCATACTACTGGAACTCTCTGTACATTCCTATAAATACAATTATAGGAAGCATGGGGATGCTGTACCTCTTGCCTTTTAGTGGACTGAGGGCAAGAGGTACAGCATCCCCATGCTTCCTATAATTCTCCTAACAGATTTTCAAAAGGAATATATGGAGAATGTACAGTACTTCAGTAAATTATACCAGAGCAGCTGAGAAGCCAAGCTTGAACTGTAGTAGCTGGAGAACTGTGAAGATCTGTGAGGTTCTGCTTTAAATATACATATATCTTGCAATTGGTAGCTTATTAGTGCTGCCACCTTAAAGGATAAGTGCAATATTGCATTTTACTTTTTTTTTTTTTCTAACACTCCCCCCAACACTTAGATCATAGAATATATTTACCCAAAACATCACTTTTTCTGAGATGCCCTGACAAGTTGAGAGATAGATTTTCTGGTGAATTGATGCCACGACATATGGCCACAGGTCCAGACTGGGGTATATCTGAACACATCAAAGTGCTGGTAGAGGGTAGGGGGTAAAGAAGGATATGTCTATTAGTGCTCTTTTTTTATAACTGTCAGAAAACATGGAAGCACATAATACTAGAATAGACCTTAAAACCACTCTGGGAGGAATTAATAAAAAGTATATGAGACAAACTTTATCTCAACTGAAGTGCAGCCAATCAGCTTTTGCATTTTCATTTTCTAAGCTCTTTGGAAAAAATAAAATATATAAGCTGATTGGTTGTTATGTGAAACCCCACCAGTTAAGATAAAATTTGTCTCAGACACTTTTTAATTCTCCCCTCTATCTTTGTGCCCCCTTTCCCTCCGACTCATACCTTTACAGTGCTTCACTACTGCTCTATTCCTCTGCGATAGCTGATAGTGCTTGCAGATATGGGGGAACACGTGACCTTCTCTTAAAGGAGAACTATGAGGTGAGTGTTTTTCACTCACCTCATAGTTCCAGCTGACCTGTGACAATGAGACTGTCACAGGTCGGCTCAGTAGATCGGGAGGTGAGCGAACACATATCAGCGTTCGCTCACCTCTCGATCCTGTCACGGCTCTCTGCCGTGACAGGGGAGGGGCTGAATTCCCCCCTCCACGCTCCGATCTGCCAGCGCTGACTGGCGAAACGGACGGAGGAGGGGGCGGGTACAGCTGGCTCCGCCTCTAGATAGGCAGAGCCAGCTGTTAGTCACGCAGTTGGGCGGATCCAGACATAATTGTTGGGATCCGCTTCAGCTGCTGCTCGCGGTATACTGCGGTGTCTCAGTATACCGCGAGCTGCAGCTCGCGGTATACTGAGCCTAGGGTGATGGGAGGACGCTAGTTTGAGTCCTCCCGTTACCCTAAGGAGAACTAGGGGGGAAAGCCTTAATCCCATAGTTCTCCTTTAAGATACAGTGGTCAGACCTAAGAAGCTAGTCGCCAGGCCTGAACATTTTTCTCCAGCTACACAGGGTTAGTACTCCTGGTTTTAACAAACATGTAGTGGGAAGTCTGGCCTGTCAAGGTGACAAAGTCTGTTAAGACACAAAATCAGGAAATAAAAATGTCCTTCGTGACATTTTACTTCTAACTTTAGAATAGGTGCTCTTTAATTTTAAACCATTTTTGGGTCATGTTGACATTAGTTTACTCTGCACCACCATGTGTCTTTGTTGTATGTAATGAAATGTGAATGCTTAAAAACAAGACAGCTGAAATCCTGTACTGACACATTCATGTTTAGATCTCTCTCAGGTCGCATTGTTGGAGGCGTATGGTGGTTCTTTACCCTCATTATTATCTCATCATACACGGCTAATTTGGCTGCCTTCTTAACGGTTGAAAGAATGGTTTCACCAATAGAAAGTGCTGAAGACCTTGCCAAACAAACAGAAATTGCATATGGAACACTCGATGCTGGGTCAACAAAAGAATTTTTCAAAGTAGGTGAATGTGCAAATAACAGTGTTTTTTTATCAGTTTTATTATTTGAGTAACAGATATCAGCTTTAATTAATGTAACTAATTTGTGAAGCTGATATATTTGTCTACTTCATAATGCTAATTTTGCCTATCAGTGGTCAGCCAACAAGAGCAGTATGAAGTCCTTTTGGGTTGATGGGTTAGAGTAATTAAATGGTAAGTTCAGTTAATGTCATGATTGTAGTATGTAAACAACTCACAGCTATGTGCCCCTTTTATAAATGATGTTGTACCCTTAGGAGTCTATAAAAAAATCCAAAATCCATAGGGATGGAAGAGCAAACCACAGTGTCACAAAAGTAATGAATCCAAAACTTTCAAAACCTATTTTACAATACTCTGCTGACCTTTAGCAGAGCCATAAGACATACATGCTATATCATTCACCATCTAGTACAGGTGCTTCCTGTCATTGACTCTTGGGATCTTTGAATTGGTTTAGACTTTTTGAACTAAGTAGACAGTAGTGAATGAAAAAATATGAGGTGCTTTATATGACTCTCTCTATATATATTTATAATCTCTATAACCAAATACTGTATTGTGTTCAGCCCTGCAAGACTTTAATTGGACTTGCATACTCTAATATTTTCAAAAATATTACCTGCTTAAAAAGATATTCTAGGTTGCAAGATAACTTCCCTGTTTCAAAATAAGTGCCTCTAACTACCTCAATTGCTTGTATCAAGATGGCTATAATAGTGTAAACCAATGATGGTGAAGTTTGTTTACACTAACCTAACATTTTAGTAGAACTTCTGTGTGCAGTTTATTCACATAACAGATGTAAAATTTGATCTTGTACTTTTGTCATCTGCTGGTCTTTAACTAGCATTGCAACTCAGATCTCTGCTGTGCACAGCTGCCCTGATCAGAAAAGCTTAAGCAGACTGCTGGACATTCAGCCTGTGATTAACCAACAGATTAGTTTGATTAGATTAGGTCTGTCTGATGCCCTGGATTACTCCTCCCATGCCCTAGATTACTGTTCTGATTTGATGTGATTGGCCTGTTATCTCTGCTATTGTGTGTCATTGCTCTGTCGTATTTGTCTGGAACCTGGACTCTGTTTAGGATCAGTTTGTCTACACCTGATATGAACATCAGCCTTCTGACTCTGGTGCTATCTGCTGCTGGTTCTGATCATTTATCTGAAGTCTTAAACTGCTCTAGCAGCTGTCCCACCTGCTGGTTTTGTTGCCACCCTGGTGACAGAGTGAGTCCACTGAACTTTGTCTGACAACAGAAGATACATTCTTGACTAAAAATGAGCATATGTACAGATCAAAATGGACTGTCATAGACAGAATACAAAGGACAGAAAGAGTAAAAAGAGAGTGTATTGCTATTAACAGGAGAGGTATTACTTACAACTGATCTCTGGGAAAAAATTCACCAAAATGAAAACAAAAAAACCTTGAAAAACTATTTTACACTCATCTAATTCCATGTCCCTAACCGGCTCCACTTCCGAGAATAATTACCAGTTTATCTAATGCTGCAGTAGACCAGTCACCTCTTCTTGATGTCATCACACTGATGCAGTCTTATGTATCCTGAGAGGACCCTGCTTATGAACAGCCAATAATAAGTGGCCTTGTCACCAAGTCAAAAATGCGGACACCTGAAGAAGGACTCCCTTGTCCTCTGCAGGGAAGAATAAAACTCGGGACTCAGCGTGTTGCATGACCACAAATTAAGATAATTTTGGGGGGTGGAGGGGAAGGGTTAAACTCAGGAGTTTAGCTTTAAGGTCTTATTTTTGTTTTATACCACCTAGTTATGTTATTTAGATTATTAATCTCAGTAATACACAGTCAACTATGTATCTATGTTTGTCAACATGTATATAAGCTTTACTTGCTATTTAAAGTACTAAATCACTGTCTGGAGCCTGATTTAACATGGCATAGAATACACAAGAGGTACAGTTCATAAATATACTTTCATGAAATTGGTGCCTCTGTGATTTGATTGATGGTGTTTGCTGCTTACGTGAGATAGCTGAGTTCCTGGCAGCTGAACACAGCAAGTGTATTCTGGTATAGCAGCAGTGTTTTGGTATCCATACATTTAACAAATTTATGAAAGAGCTTTAGTTTACTTTGCCCCAGGCGAACATGTATTATGTTTGTCATTTGCATCGCACTTATTGATCTGGGCACATGAGGTAAAGGGTGTCTCTATGTATAGATCATTACCTCTTATTCCTTGGGGAGCTTAAAGAAGCAAAAAATAATTACAAGAACATCATATGAGAAATCCAGTATAACAGTTGCTGGCATTGATGGAATTGTTATGTATGAGATGCCCAGTGGGAATTGTTTCCTCTATTAATGAGCCTTAGTCCCAGTAATACAAGAAAATGTTAAGCCCAACTGCAGCCAAAACTTGGTGAAGGTAGACATAGACACAGCATAGTTCTCCCTGATAACCAGGATGGACAGAAACAACCATTTATTCTGTGTGTTTGGTTTAGGAGATGAGCAAATTTGCTGATAAGCACACCTTCCAGTTTAGTAATCTCTACTGCTTTGAAATTAGATGTTTTCATGGACTAGATGGACTGCATGTCCTTTGCATAGGAGTTATTCTTTAGGGAAGAAAAAAGTAATAAAGCAATACTATATATTAAAATGTTTAAAAAGTTACTATAAATATACTGTATATCATAGCTATAAATATACATATTATAAATATATAATATAATACAAATATATATATAAAGAGAAAGCATGAAGGTCACCTTACAAAATATGTATGCATATATTAAGAAATGTAAACCCAGTCACATAATATTTAGCATGTTAATATAATTTTAAAAGCTGTTTTTAATCATTTTAACTCTGCGAATTTCATTAAAATTCCCTGCAATCCTGCCATAAAGATCTATGTTCAGACAGGCACTTCCTGTTATGGGGTAACAGCCGTATCCCAGTGCACTGTTACCCTGTCAGATGTGCACCTGCTAGAGCGTACAAGTGACCATGCATACACAGAGGCTTGATATACTGCTGTCAGTGTTAGGAAGCCAGTCCAGAACAATGATGTGCAGCTGATGCTTGGGGTAGGTGAATGCAGGCAATAAGTGGCTGAAAGGAGACCGAGGAGACCAGCAGCACTGATGCTGAATACAGTTTTTATGGGAAAAAATATATGGCAGTTGTTGATACACAGTGCCTTCACCAACAAAATGTTGTCCAGTTATGGTGTAGTGCTATTTAAATTATAAAGTGAGAAAGAGAAATAAAGCCATACCCTGTTTTTGGGTTTAGTCCTCCTTTGGGAACAAAGGAGTACATTTACTAATGTGCTCCTGTGACTCAAAGTCAGCATCTAGCAGGCCACTGTCCACTATTTGGTTAAAGTGCAGAGCCGCACTGCAGCCAGGAAAGATCTCGAAAATATCGTTGGGATTCACTCCGCTGCCTGATTGACAGCTGTTTCTTTTCTCTAGAGTCAGAGCCAGCTGTGCCCGTCCCTTTCCCTGTTTGTCCCTCCAATGAGTGCTAGAGGAACAGAGTATGCAGGGAGAAGACAATGATCTGAGTGATCATCGGATCGAGAACATTCAGCTGTCAATCTATAGAGGCGGCATGTGACAGATGAAGTGTCACATGCCGTCTCTAAGTATTGGGAAGAGTACATTTTCCTCTCCTAATACTTCTCCTTTAATATGGCACCACACAATGTCTGCTAAGCTTCCCTTAGTATCATACTTTTGTTCCCAGTAATTGAACTTCAGTTCAGGTCTGTTGTAAAATAAAACTTAATGCACCGTGCTGTTTAGTTAAAAGGGATCTGGGAAAACTACATACAGTCCAACACTAGAAGGTATACGCAAGATAATCAAAGAGCGGAAATCCATCATAAAAGAGGAGGAAACTCTGAAAGAAATCTTCCAGCAACCCCCAATTTTGGCCTTTAGTCAATTACCGAACCTAAGGCATGAGCTAATCGGCAGAAAACTTTGTTGTGACAAGGACGCAAATTGCAACAAGGACACAAACCTTGCAATAATAAATGCTACAAACTGTGCAGCCACTCCAATCCATCAAAAAGTGTTGCACACACAAAAAGAAACTTCAATACTACAGGATCATATGGCTGCACCTTCAGTAATTTGGTATATCTCAATCATTGAAACACATACAACCAAGAATGTTACCGTGGTGAATCAAGACAAAAATATAAAAAATAAATAAATAAAATATTCCTGGCCACCTCTGCTGTATCTTCCAAGCACAGCACTCGTTAAACCTGTGCACGTTGCTCTGGATGCATTGAGAAACTGTCCCCTTTTGTTTTGGGTATTTCTACTCTTTTAATGGATTATTGTTACCTTAATGCTGGGTAAAGCAACCTTAGCCAACTGTTGTGGAACTACATAAGGCATTGCAAGACACCCACAGGCATGACTCCCAGAGGCAGATGCACGATGGGGTTTTACCACAGCTAGGGGGCCGAGATTGCTTACCCCTGCCTTAGCGGATACAGGGTAGTTTATATTAGTTTTGACCTACTGGCTCCACACTTGCTCAGTTATGTAATTTTTATTTAAAACTGCTGCATAGTTACAAATGTCAATGACCTTCAAATTACCTGTATGCCAAATCTATCAGAAAATATATTGCATTCTTTCTTGCCAAATTGTTTGTAATGTTTCTCTTGTTTGAATTTTTTGAATGTGTTTTACTATTACTGATTAATTTCTAAACATACAGTAAGTAAAAAGAGAATCTGCTTTGACAGAGGTCGAAAATTGCAGTTTATGAAAAGATGTGGACCTATATGAAATCTGCTGAACCATCAGTATTTACCAAGACGACAGCAGAAGGAGTCGCCCGTGTACGGAAATCTAAAGGAAAATTTGCTTTTCTACTGGAATCGACTATGAACGAATACATCGAGCAGAGAAAACCTTGCGATACAATGAAAGTTGGAGGAAATCTGGATTCTAAAGGATATGGAGTGGCAACACCTAAGCATTCTCTATTAAGGTGGGTGGAATAGTATAACAATATAATATGTGTTGTTATAGTATTCCACCTTCCCTGATGTTCCTAACGTAGTTCTTTGTGTTGTACTGTGTGTGAACATAGTATGTTTCTTAACTTTCCATCTCAGTGTCTGTGCACACATTTAGTCATTTCAACATATTTAGAGCTTCATCATTTTAGGATCATGCACCAAGCAGAGCAGTGTAATACTGAGTCACCATTACATATATTAGAATTGTATCAGCATAAGATGCAGAATAAACAAAAAATAAATTGCAGCAGCTATTGATATTTCTTTTACAGGGTAAAAGCTAAAAACATAGCATAATGGTTGAAATACTGTAGATGTGGGCCTCTCCTCCTTAACCCTTTTGTGGCCAGAGGTCTTGAAGCCTCTGGCTTAAAGGATAAAAATCTGTAATAGCGGAGTCGCCAATCGGCATTCCAAGGATCAGTCCTTCAAGGTCTGCAGGGGGTGATGATCCCAAAGCTGTGCTGGCTTTTAGGGATGTAAACAAGCTGCCAAAGCACTGCGAAGAGGTTGTCTGCCTAAAGCGTTCTAGACTCCCCATCTTCTGGAACCAGCTGCCTGAAAAAATATCTAAAACTGAACTTCAAACACCCAGTCTTGTGCAGAAGAATCTGAACATATAGGGACATCTGCACATGACTGAATATTAAAGAGAAGTTGATTTAACTTCATTGTAGTTATTTACCCCTGCAGGCCTATTCAGTGTAGAGATGTGAACTTGTGTTCACTTTAAAAATAACTTCCTCGAAGAGTAGCATAGAGGCTGCCATTGCTGACTTCTCCATTGGAAAATGCTGGCAAAGATTGCAACCTTTGTTTTAAAAATATTTGGAAAAGCCACAAGGGCCTTTTCATGCCTCTGATTTGCAGTAGAATACCCATATTGCTCTGAATAAGCCATTTGCAAAGCTTTTGGTATCTGTTGAAAACAGTGCATCTTGTTCCAAATTTGACTAAATAACCTGTAAGTATTATAGAAATTGTAAATAGCTTTGTGTAAGATACAGAAATGGAATGATATTCCCATTCTTTTATTCAGTCATCCCTATAAATTAAATTTTTGTCAGCATCCATTTCAGGATAGATAAATAATTGACTAAGCAATTAACTCATTAGGCAGTTGGCAAACTAGAATTATGACCCTCGTATTGGGGATAACATTTTTGCTTTCTTAATATTGTGAATAATGAGGTCAGATGTTACGCTGTATTTGCTGGTGCATGGTCTTTTGTGTTGCATGCCTCTGCTCTCATAGTTCCAGGGTATGTAAACTGTTATGTCAAAAAATCCTTTTCTTTTATTAAAATCTCCTGTCCACCTTATTTTTTATTTTGTATTTCCCTTTTGCTATTGCGCTGTGACACTGTGTGTGGTTATGGCTTTTATCCCTGCTGAATAACCCTCTCATAATTACTTGTCACAACACTGCCTATGAACACATTATTATTCATCAACTTAGCTTTCCGTTCAGCAAATGTAAATTCAATACACCAGAACTAAAACAGAATTTTCTGCCACTACGAATTTGTATTTTTACACAGTATTAGCTTTTTTTTCTTTTTATGAGCTCATGAACCTAAAATAATAACAATAGCTGAAGCTGATAAAACTGATCTTTTAAAATTACAAGGCAAATAATATGGATGATCTTTCTAGTAAACACCTAAAACTTTTTCCTTGTGAAGATATATTTTATATATTTGTATGACCAGATATGTGTGGTCAGAACTTTACATTAGCTAGAAGATAACTCAAAGATCAGTTCATTTGACTAGTGTGATCAGCATGCTTAGTTAAACCATGCTCTGGCCCGCTTGAAAGAGATGGTCTCGGGCATGGTTCAGTTGGATTTGGGCACGGTACGCATCTGTGAGATCGATTACTGTGTCTAATCTTGGCACGTGAATGCTGGAGCAGATTAGATCCATTTATTCCCACTTATCTAGTAAGGGTAAAGAGGTAAGCACAGTCAGGAATGGCATGATGTGAGAGCAGGCCAGTGGGGGAATGGAGAAGGGCAGCAGTCATGCTCAGACACAGTACAAGGCAACCATGCCTAGTGTGAGTACCCCTTTACTAATGTGTTCTGAGTCCAGCAACCTGTTCTTTTAAGTAGTCCTGCACTGAGCAGTATCTGGAAGCAAGCAAAGAAAACATAACACTGCTTAAGATACAAAACAATAGGTGTAACCAGCAGTGTTTTGTAAAGGACTTTTCACAAATGCCTAAAGTGCATGTATTATCAACATTTTTAAATCCATTTTTGATGGAGTAGGGAAGGATTAGAACCCCTGTTGGGTTATTGCTGTTTGTATTCCTTCTTGGAAGATTCACCCACAACATTTGTCATGGAAACCATTGTCTCCATGACAGAAAGTGATGGGGCATCCAAAATGTTAGGGTCGTCACAACGAATAAGAGATCACGTTAAATCTTCTAAAGGGGCACTTGTTTTCCGGTGTCAGCTGCCTAAAGGGAATTTGTCCTGTTGCTTCTCCAGGACAGGAAGTGAATTCGAAAACAGCACACAAACAGGAAATAATAAACTGACCGGTTTCATTCCTTCCCTATGCCATCCAAAACAATAAAAAAGAAATGGCTATACATACACTTTAATGACGGATTGGGAACACAAAGACCTTCACCACACATCTACACATGCACTCTTTCAAAAACTTAGCTTGAGCTTTGCATACGTCTAAAACAGAAAGCCCCTTAGAAACATCTCATCATTCTAAGTGATTTAATTACAACATAAAAGGTAACCTAAAAGAAAGTTGGTTTCATAACAAATTGTATACTTTTAAGTAGGGATGCACCAGTGCAGATACCGAGTTTTTGGGTGAGTACTCGTACTCACCCAAATGCTCCGATACTTACCTCCGATAAATCTCCCTCGGACCGGCAGTGCCAAGGGAGCATGGAGCCGGCTTCCTTTCCAATCAGGAAGCCGGGCGGTGGGTTATGACCCCCCTCCCGGCTTCCTGATTGGCTAGGAAGCCAACTTCACGTGTTGCTAAGCAGCCTGGCTTCTTAATCAATCAGGAAGCCGGGCGGCACGTAATGACCGGCCTCCCGGATTCCTAAGTGGTCAGGAAGCCAGGCTGCCTAGTAACAAGTGAAGCCAGCTTCCTAGCCAATCAGGAGGCCGAGAGGCGGGTCATGACATGCCGCACGGCTTCCTTATTGGCTAGGAAGCCGGCTTCACTTGTTGCTAGGCAGTCTGGATTCCTGACCAATCAGGAAGCTGGACGGCACCTCTTGACTCGGCCCCGGCTTCTTGATTGGTCAGGAAGCCAGGCAGCATCTAAAGCCGGTGTTCTTTTGCTAGAACGTTTTCTTCACAGGTAAACAGGACGCCAGGTGATAGGTTATGATCCACCGCCCGACTTCCTGATAATCAAGGCACAATCGGGGCACATTGGGGACTTCCTGATAATCGGGGCAATATCGGCGAGTACCGAAAAAAAATATTGGTACTCGTACCGGTATCAGTGCATCCCTACCTTGAAGTCCCCCTTACTCACCTCCTATCCAGTTGTGGGAGTTGACATGTTTTGGCTGTGACTCTCCAGACCACATAACACCAGCTCTCCAGGACACCCATATAGGTGCAATGAACAGATAGGAGTAGAGAGGCTGCTGACACCTATTTAGCACCATATTTACTCTGTATGTGATTTCCTGAAAGAGAAAAAGGAAAGCTTGTGTTCTGTGATCACATTAGTGATTACAATAGAAATAAATTAGGGGGCCAAAGCTGATGTGAACTGCAGGAAGCCCAATTGAAGCCTCATATCTTTTTATCTCTTTACAGTCCTGTACCCCACAATGTATATTTGTGACTGATTTCTCCTTGGCAATACCTTAAAATTATGTTACCTGTCTTCCCACTACACTGCTCTTGGCAAGTAACAGCCATGCCCCCTTAGCACAAATACCCATACACAGATCTATTACAAAGGAAAAGAGGGTGTGTGTTTGGCTTGTCTGTTACAGAGGGCAAATTACTGTGAGAACTGGGTCTACATTTGGTGCCTATTGGACAGTCATAATTAAACACCCTGCTCAACTTCTCTAACTGTAAATGGATGTTGATACTACAATGTTTGTTTGACTGTATATCAATTTCTGTGACTTGAATTGGGCTTTAAAGTGAACCTGCGGCCAGGCTATGAATATTCAAATATTTATACATTCTTAATAAAAAAATTAACTTTTAACTGCAGGCACAGTAGATAAGTTCATCCTCAAACTTCACAACAGAGGCACTATAATTAAAGCTCACCTCCCTTTGCTTTTTCTGGCAGCAGAAAGTTAGCAGCTTGCCAGCTTTCTGATA